AGGCGCTAACCCCGTTGACGTGATCAGGTAGGTATGTAGTAGACGAAAAAAGTTGCTGTTTTAGAAATTTTTGAATTGTTATACCGGAAATATTAGCGACCTTTTTAGCGTATTATTAATATATATGCGCATAATATACCGTAACCAATACTTTGAATGATCGTTTTTTCACTTAAGAATTCGATAAGGTGGTTTTCGGCGCGTGAATTATTTGGAATATTTGTCAATCCCTACTATTAAGTACAAGCGTACCTAAAATAAGCGCACACACTCTAGCTTGAGACTTATGAAAAAAGGTTGCAGCGTCTAGCCTTTTCTCTAACAGGCTTAGTGTAGATTTACGACCTTGCGACATATAGTCAGTGCGGATGTAATAACTAAATGAAGGATGCCTGCAAGAAAACGTAGAAAAATTACCGGAATATAACTTATTTAGAGATAACTCTATACTAGTTATATAATGGTAAAATATGATATGTCAGTCACAAATGTAGTATATTCAACTTTTTGAAGGCTTAATACGAATAGGATCGCTCGCTTCACTATCATATCAAAGAAGTCTGCCTGGATAAAAACTACAAAAATAGTATATACATGTTATATTCAAGAGGAGATCACTAAAGGATTTACAAAGACCTTACATTAATTTAGAAGCACATGCTAGGATTTTATCTTTGTAAAGTCATATATTCATATTATACACCATTACGTTTTCTTAATATGTTGATATTACGAACTGTGTAATTCCTTCAAACTCGTGTGGCTCTTTGGAAGTTTAAAATATGTTCTATGTATTTTAACAAAACATGATTATTGATCTACTTTAGTATTTAGTCATTTAGATTTCATTGAAAGTTTTATACAGTTTTAAATGACGCATGAGTAGCTTAAAATAAGGGGCGTACTCAAATCTTAGAACTGGGACCTCACTATTTTAGGGGAATTACGAACAATCAGTTATGCAAATAATAAATGTCATCAAGTGAAAAGGACATATTTACTTTATTATTGATGCCACAGATACCTATCTTACAAATGATGTTTTTTTCGCTCAACGTTTTATTGCCCAAGAATTTGTCGTAGAATTCTGGATGTCTGCTATTCATTTTCACCCCTGAATTACTTTAAATAAATGTTTCACTACTCGATAATCGAACATCGGCTGTGAACAACACCTGTTCATTTTCGGTTAACTCTCTCTCTCTATTTTGGCAGATACAATATATCACATGTTTCTTCAGGTATCAATAGTGATGTCATTTCATCTGCTAACGCCTGCCTTATAGTCAACTGCATAAGAAGCAACAAAGTTTGTACTGAGTCCTTTTGATAATTTCCCTACTCAGTTTAAAACAATCGTATCTGTTATTTCATGGTTGCCAGAGAATCAAGTTACTGAATATGAATATAAAAAAGCTTTCAGATTACTGATAAAAAATGAAAACTGGAAGATTTAGGTATTCCAAAAATAATTTATTGTGATATCATCTTACTATAATGGACGAAGCGTGTATGTCAGTTTCTATGTATGTAACCGAAACTCCTGCGTCATCTATTGAATGGTACCACAAACAAACATCCATCAAAATTTTCACACTTTGGGTATTCGAGATTCAGACAATTAGAAAATAACTGGTATGTGTAACAACCATTTCTTTATCACAGAACACAATTTCAAATAAAATTACTCTCCTCACAACAGGAACACAACTTTCACTAGGACTGTACATGCAGGTTTGATTATACTTTTATTGATGTAATTTGTAAGTAGTACTAAAATGGAGTTCTTGAAAATATATTACTTTTTCAATAAACAATACCACTTTTAATATATAAGAATATTACAGTTTAACACTACGATTATTAATTACTAGCACAAACAGCCGCCCCTAGGGCGACGTTTCAGTTAGTTCCTTAGATCAGGACTGACCCGGTCAAACCGGGATTCCTAGTCACCCTAACCGAAACTGACATAAACACTAACACATGATCAATTAATTACGTACTACAAAACAAGGAAAAGCTCTCATGTTTTTAATTAACAGCTTTCTTAGAATTGAATGTTAAAATGAATAAATTAAATAATATTAAATGTTTAATAATTTTATGTATACATGTAGAAAATTAAGGTACTAAAAATGTCCTACCAAACTGAAGAACTTAACTTATACTACAATTGAAATAAAACATCATTGTATTTTAGGTACTATCAACGTAACAGAGGAATAGAGGATGAATGAGCTTTTAGCCATCAGTCTCAAAATTATTGCCATCAAGAGAGTTACTATAGTTATTTTAACTTCAATCACTAGTAAACAGTGTGAATACTATCGATTAACACCTCAGTTCTGGGATAAAACCCACCAGAGACAAAATAATTCGATACGATTACCTTAATTTAATTTTATCTAGCTCTTTCAAGTTTTGGGTTTTTTTTATCTTTCATTCTATATATTCTTATTTATCTAAACCAGATAAACTGCAAATTTAATTACATGAAAATTATAGATGACAGGAATGGAAGCTAATTTATCCTTATTTAACACCTACCAGGCTTGTAGTATGATAAGAATTAGTTTTCCCCTTTTAAAATGTTCACTTATGTTTTTGATAAAGTCTTCCTTGTTCAGAATCAGGCTTTGATGCATGCGACTATTTCAAGCCAAAAAATGTTAATACTTCATCAGAAGAATGCAGACTATGTGGAAAGCGTTAAATACTATAAGAAGCTGTGCTATAACTATATAAGCATAATTTATTTAATTCACAAAAATAGGGGGTTGGGCCGAACCCTCCCTGTGTACGTGCGTGGTTATTATTCCACACAAAATAATGGCTCCTTATAGCTTAGCTGATTAAACTTCAAAATACTTGTTGACTAAAATTTTTTATCAGATAAAAATAGGGAAAAAAGTCGTGATGATCGTTTTATTGCCAACATTTGCACCCCAACTTCCAACTTAAAAGTACCAGTATCTCTCATCAAAGAGCTTACACCCGCACAATTTCTCATAAGGAAAGTCAGATGTGAGCTTCCTTTCCTTCGAAGATGCCAACGAAAGTACTCAAGAGTCACGCGCTTTCTTATGCAATCAATTTCGTATTATGTCACGTCTTGTAGCAGCTTTCTTTGACTATCGTCGCCGATGCACGGACAATCTCTATCTTCTACAATTGAGTGATGAAGACTTCCATCATCTACACACAGAACCACCCAACTGAACATTGCATTATTGGTTGGAAATTTCTCTCATAAATATGGTTGAAGTACTAACAATCTATGTATGTTGAATCAAATTCGTGCTAAGATAACCGAAACATTGGTACTCATAATGATATATACATGTACCTTCTGCTGAGTATAGTGCATTTTTAATAACTTGATAAATTTTACTGGAGTTTTTCTATCGATGGGAGCTCAGATGTCGTTGTTTGGTTTGTTTTGAATTTTGCGCGAAGCTACTCGAGAGCTATTTGCGCTAGCCGTCCCTAATTTAGCAGTGTTAAAAAACAGGGGAGGCAGCTAGTTACCACCACCTACCGCCAACTCTTAGGTTATTCTTTTATAAACCATTAGCGGGATTGATTGTAACTTTATAACGCCCCCACGGCTGAAAGGGCGAGCAAGTTAGGTGGCCGGGGATTCGAACCCTTAGATTGCAGGTCAAGCGCCCTAACCAACAGGCCAGATGTCATTGAATGTAAATCAAAAACTTCAGGAAAATTATATCACGCATCATCATAAGGCTTCTTCCAAACTGGTGCTTAGACAGTGTTATACGAATTAAACAAAAAGTTAACTCAAGTAGATACTATACAAATGTTATGGATCAGCATTTCTCAACCTTTTCGATTCCAGGGACAGGCTCGCTAAACTATTGCTGTACAACGAAATACCATTACGGTTTGAGTATGAATATTTTGTCTGATTTTGTTTGTTCGTTTTCGTGAAAGTCCACGGACTGACAAAGGTGGTTGTGGCGAATCGGCGGTTGAGAAATACTTGTAGCCTAATGAACATCTACAATGTATTGAACCTGAAACGTTTCGCACGCTAGGCGAGTGCTCTACAATTGATCTAAAGAGACAACCTATAATCTCGTCCAAGAAATAAAGTACATTTTAACAACCCCAACCACCACACTCGATTCGATTATTTAATATTTATATATATTTTTTTAATTTTGTAAAGCAGAAATATTAGCGAGTCACATTTTTGTTCATTGATTTGCAAGTTTGATTTCAAAGTAAATAATATACAAGTAACGACTGCTTTCTTGGTCTTATAATGAGCATTGGATATACAAATAGCAATATTTCAATTTTAATTTTATAAAGGTGGTCAGAAGGGGCTTTTGCTATTTAAAAAATGACAAAAACGTGCGTGCTGAAGATATGGAACAAATTTGTTATTGTATATGTGTTTTTTTCTTCTTTCATGCTACTGCGTAGATCTAGTTAAACCCCACGAACCAAACTTGGATTCGAAAATTGCGTGCTCACAAAAACCTTTTGTTAAATCACTTCCAAATAAAACCACCAAAATAGGCTTATTAGAATGATCAGTTGTGCGTAGATGATTTATTTTACACATGCGTAAAAAAAAAAGTTAACGTATTAATGATAAATATAAAAGTATAATTCATCTAAGATAACATCAGCTCAGAAAGTTTTGACGAAAGGTTTCTTGAATTTTTTGCACTTATATAATATACACTACATAGACTGTAAAACTTAAGTATAAAACTTGTTAGCCTTTGAGAAGTTTGATAAACACTCTTGACAATGAAAGAAGTAACTCAATTTCACAGCTATTCAAATCCGTGTCGATGCCATAGAATGATTGTTTTTTTCTCAACCATGGGAATGTACTCCGCTAAGTAATTGGTCGATATTTCCGTCTCTTTCATAGCAGCGGAATGTGTTATACTGAGTAATTGGTCGATAAGCTGCGCTACGCATACAAACTTCGGTAACTGCCGAGACCACTTGAACGGAGCCAACGAAGGTGAGGTTACACTACCCGAGTGTCGGTGGGATGAACTCTCCTGTGCCCACCAGCTCCTTAAGCTCATCCGGGTATCTACAGTTGGATTTAGGATATTTCGAATACCATAAATAACTTCCGAGAGAAATTAAGTATGCTAGGAGAACCATATGTATTTCTATAGTGGAACATACAGTTTCGTGGAAAATCTAAATTCGTAATGGCCGAAGTCTTTGGTGTTTGCAGCTGGTGGAGGCTGCATCTGCGCAGTAGCTGATTTCTGCGCAACATTGTACGTCTAACACTCTGAATGTAGCTGTAAGGTCTGCTGCACTTGGCATGTCCAACTCGCGCTTTGATCGTTCGCCTTTGTGGACATAATGATTTCTAAAAGAACCTTTGCTGTTGTGCTCATATTATGCTGTGGGGCCTTACATGGTAAGTGAAGTGAGGTAGTAATCAAACAGATTAACTAGTTTTTTATATTGTAACATTAGCTTTGCTTTATATAGTTTCATTTCTCTGAATGACTAAAAATTCAAAAGTTTTCCCATTTAGAAGTAGAAAACTACAAACACTAAGATATACACATATGGAAAAGATAAGGGTCGATTAACAGTGCTACAGGTAAACCACTTCGATTCCTTTACATCGCATATAAAATTAGTTTTTCTTCCTTAGTAATATCTGACATTAAAACCTTCAGAAAACTGTGTAAATTATATATATATATATATATATTATTTTCTGATTTTTATCAAAGTATTATATCGATAATTTACCGCATTTATTTTGTACAATAGAAATACATTCAAATGGAAACAACACTACAAATTTAAGATACGATTTCACTGTTATTTACCAAACAACTAATAGCCTTAGTTTTCATCTACGATATAGATGATGGTTTCTTTATATTTTGAAATAATACAAGTAGATAAAAAAATATTTTCTATCTGTTTTGATGATAGCAATTACTTCAAATAATAAAACATAAAACTTATTTCAACAGAAAACAAAATATTATTATAACTTTTCGTCATTAAACTGCATTGTATTATCAAATATTAATTTTAAGTCTTTTTACTAATCTACCAAAATGAAACATTTTATTTATCTAGAGGAAATGAAAACATTTACCCCAAATAACAGTTAACAAATAAGTTCAATCATGCCATGCTAGTTTTTCGAATTAAACCTATTGCCAGTAACAGTAAAAAGGTTTGAAGTTTTACAACACGCTCAAATCCTTCTGTTTTATTTATTTAAACTGAAATCTTTGGATGTAAATGTGTTGGAAATCATTACATTATAAGTGTTTTCGTGTGTTAATTGCCTTTGCTGATGGAATAAAACTATTTCAAGATTTGTAGGAGCTCCTCTTGAAATCTCTTTGGCCCATAAGAGGATTCCTATGTTTTTCTAAACAATGATTAAGTGTCAGTAATTTTTGTTTCAGCTCCTTATTAGAACGTGTATTGGGGAAAGGTGCATCTTTAACAATTTAGTTTAAAAGATCTTCACATACACACTAAGTACGTGAGATTTTCAGTTGATTTTATATTATTTATAATGATATAACATAGAATACCTAGTGTATACGAATAACCAAGCTCGTTGAACATCTCGACAAAATGAGTATTCATTTAAAAACAACAAGTTTTAAACTTAGTCTAGTTAGCGCAGAATAGATAATCTTCTTTTAGAGGAACGATTTTATGGTTATTATTTTTCTTTGTAGTGAAGATTTTTTTCTAATTTATTTTCGTTAATAAATGGGTGTTGATTAAGGGCTTGTGATCAACTTATATTTGTTCGCTGATGACACATCTCACTTGATAAGTAGGTTATTTTCTCTGACTGCAGAGGAAATAAGATGGCTACTGCTTTTGTACTGTAACAAGAAACCTATATTCGCACTTTATTACAAGCATTCGTAATTAACGTTGTATATTTTCATTATTAGAGACAGAAATATGAAAACATTTTGTGACGCAAACATACACAATTTGTTTGACACATAAACCTAACTCAATATTGAACTCAAATAATAAGCTGTGTATTTTAATAACGATGGGCGTTCTTTGGTGAAGTCCCATGGATCACTGATTCTTGAGTGGTAGTACATGTGAAGTACAGGGACACGTGAAGGTCTTAAAATAGGTACGCGGACTTCTAGTAATGATAACAAAATGTACAATGAAAGTTAAACAAATGAATAAAAATAAAGTATCGTTTTTACAAAATAAAGTAGATTTTGATTGGTTTGTTCAAGGTTGCTCGGCAACCATGGTTTGAGGTGCTTGCTTTATTATTGCAATTGAAATTGCTTGAATTTAGTATTTTATTTTGACTGTGACCATTTTAGTGTGGAAAGCAAATATGGTGATGTTTCGGATTATAATAAAAACAAAATGTAAATGAATAAAGAAACAAGATTGAAATAAACAGACACGGCAACATCACTGTTATTAGCCTATGTACTTGGATGGACGAAGGTCATTTTAGAGGTACTTAAGTCAAAAATAGGTTGAGAGTCGCTTTTATAGATAAAAGTAACTTCCTTTGAGTTTAATAAATCTACTATAAAATATGTTTGTTTCTCGAATCGCAAACTATTTCACTGTACATTTTCTTAGTATACATAACACGATTCTTTCTCAAATTCTTGGTGCTATTCATGCCTCACTTAACCCATTTTTATTATTTTGCAATTGTAATTGTTCTAAACCATTTCAACAATTTTTTTAGCAGGATGAACAAGCACCATGTTTAAAAGACAATTAAAAGAAAAGAACTATTATTGTTTTAAAGTCTCGCACGCTGTCCATTGCGAGGAATCGAACCCCGGATTTTAACATTGTAAGTCCGTAAGCTTACTGCCCACCCAGAGAAGTATAATAACTCATAAATATGTATTCGAAGTTTTTTTTTAATTTTTAAGAATCTCTCACTTCCAATTAATTCAATACAGAGTTTTGGTTATCAATACTAAGGGCCCAATTTATTGTATAAGTAATTATATGTATAAAAAAACAGACACCCCAGAGTAATTTTTATTGGTATAGTAAAGAAGTAAAGACATCGTTAAAAGAAATAGATTTATGCAATTAATTCAAACAATTTACGGAACAGGTCAAAGGTGATCATCAACTTTTGACGTAAATGACATAGTAATAGAATTGATTTCAATTATAATGGTTTTACTCCGACTTGTAAGGTAGGAAACTATAACTTTTGGGTAAAGAAGAGAATCCCGTATTTTAATCTGATAGTAAAATACCTGTTCAATAGCACACTTAATAGTTTATTTTTCTAGGCGTGTTTACTATTTGTAAAGCTGAATGAAACTGATAAGCACTAAAGCTTAGAGAAAATCTTCACAAAGTCAATCAATTTGTCAGTTTGAAATAAATGTGCAATCTTTGTGTCATCATTTAAATCATTATCGATAAGTATAATTATTTGAAAAATAATTATGTTTCTTTATACGTGGCAATACCTATAGCTACTAGTTATTCCTGACTTTAAAATACAAGGTAGCCCTAAAATAACACTTTACTCACATTTGTTTACCTTGGTACACAAAGCACCATTTTGTGTTATAAAACGTCAAATCTGTCACGTAAAACGTTTATATTGTATTTCTAAGTGCCTAAGAATTTTATGAAAGCATTCCAAATAATAAAACCACAATAATAAAGAGAAGCAAGCTGCTATTTATTTCAGTAAGATGATAAACATTATGTACGCATCATCTGTCTCAGTCTTCAACACTGGATATTTAAAATACAAAGCAATTACTTATAATTCTAACTCTATTTTTAACAAACACTTTGTTTAAAAAGTTTTCTAAAGACCGGGACTTAGTCAATTTTAAAAATAATAAAATTTTATATTAAATATCATTATAATGCACAAAATATATATTTAGATAAGTTTTAAAATAATTACAGTATATTTCTTTTTTCTTTAGTTGTTTCAGCCCACATTGCAGTATAACACACATACTGATTAAACATTAACTTACCCTTTGAATGCATGTCGTCACCCACAAGGCTGTTCTCTAATGGAATTCTGTCAGAATATGAGTATAAAACCCATCCCAGATTAACAGTGTTGAAATGTTTGCAAGAAACCAAATGTCATAAATTACATTAATTGGAGAAAGGTGAGATACAGACTAATGGAAGTACATAAGTCATTCAACTGCATTAGAACTTGATACTAAAATATCTAAAGAATATTTATAATGGCCAAAAGTGTTATCGAAGAGTGACAAACATTCGCTCCTAGAATTGAAAAAGTGCTAGAAAAGTCCTCTTTGTATGTGAACAAACATAAATGGTGCCATCTGTTGGTTTGTGCAGAGTGGTGTCCATAAATGTCTGTATTTCGGCAATAGCTGATAGAAATAAAACATCAACCGTCGCAAGGCCTGGCAGATGTCGAATCTTGATGATAGGTTACAAGTCTGTGGAATAATATCAAATGCTTTCAACATTTACGAGATGACAGCCAAATCTGGGTCTGGAAGCAAGCAGGAGAACGCTTGGACTGTGATCGTATAGGACAACTGGCAATGATTCCAGTGTGGTCTGTATCCTGCACATTGAATGTGAGATGTATATGTTAAAATATCTTAACTAAATATGCTTCGATAGCCATGATAGCAGAGACGTTCGGTTTGCAGGATTATGCTTAGAAATACAATAACAAAAACACGATCTTTGTATGGTTACAGAGAAACAATATCGGCATCTTATAATATCGTAACAAGTATCCAAGTTTTAATCCTACAGAAAATCTTCTGCAGGAATTAATTTGAACATTTGAAACACAGCTTTTCAGTCTTCAGCAATTGATCAAGTGTGAGATGTATTAAAACAAAGAGATATAGAACCCCCCTCTCTTTAACTACATATTCTAATATATAGCTACAGTACAGTGTATTGACATTGGCGCCTACTTCCTTGTACGCCTTCAGCGGATCACTATTACTTTAAAATACACACACACAACAATGTAATAATGTAATAGTGAGCAAGCACAAGTATATCCAAAGAAAACATAAAGCCACTATTGATTTCTCTTTAAAAAAAAGAGAGCGAACAACAATAGAACAACAAGAAGTAGAAACAATTATGTTAAAAAGCCAACATTAAATAATTATTACGTAGGAATATGTTGTTTCTGTTATTAATAAAGTTTGTTTTGGCACAAAGCTAGACATTGGGCTATTTGCGTTTTTTCCTTTGCCAGGGAATCGAAACCCGTATTTTAGCGTTGTAAGTTATTAAACTTACAACTGACCCACAAGGGGGACAATTAATAAAGAACAAACTACAACGATGTAACGAGCCTTTCTTACATTAGTTAAAAGCTCACTTAAAAATTTCTATAAAGTGTTAACTTCCTTTATGAAGAAAGCAGTTTAT